TGACTATATTTGTACTTTGGTATACTTGAGGGGAATCTCAGAGGTAATGGGTGCAGATTATTTCCCCCAATAGACCTGGAATCTCTCCTTGTTCTGTACTGGCCTTGGCGAGTCAGGTTAAATGTGGGCAGTCCCAGGTCTTTTGGTCTGTTCTGGAAGCATCACTCCTACTGTGCGACTGCTGCAGCAGGTCCTTCCTGGGCTGGCCTGGGGCTGCAGTGTTCATTTGCCACCCACGCCACCCTTACTATATCTCTTTCCACCAGGACTACAGTAAAACTCCTCCCTCCGCTGCCAGTTTTTTGTCACCTCTGGCACACCCTACCCGTGAAGCCACTCAGACCACTCCCCGATGCTTCACACCCAGGCAGCTGGTGAGTTCTAGCAGAACTTCTAGATCCTGTTCCCATGTCTCTCCTCATATCATGAATTATTACAGGCATCATGCAGATGCCCACTTTTTAAATATGTTCTGAGAAGATACATAAATGTTTATGCTTATAATTATATGCGCACCTCGTGAAAATTTACATTTGAGTGTGATGTCAAAAGTATCTGGCTGTGGTCAAGCTGGCATAGCCTAATGTCAAAATCACAACACTTTTTTTTGAGACTTTTCTGAATATACTACTGGGCAGCAGACTCTGGAATCAGATGCCTGAATTTCAGGCAACAGCATTCACTGGCTATGTGGCCTTGAGCACGTTTCTTAATTTCTCTACACCTCAGTATCCTCTTCTGACAAATGGGAATTAAAAATGGTAACTGCCCCATAGGAGGGATGTGAGGATTACATGAGAACATTCACGTAAAATCTCAGATGAGTGCCTGGCACAAAATAAGTGTTCAATAAACACTGGCAATCATTATTACTTGGGCTGAACTTATTTTTAATCAGTAATCAAGACACAACTTTCCTTGCATATTTGCAATTAAAAGACATTTTCATGGCATGACACCAGAGTTTTCTTAAATTTTATAAATGGAGACTCTTATAACATTTTAAAGGTGATAGGATGACTGAGTCATCACTGTTCTCAGTTCTATAATCTTGGTCCCACCAGATGTATTGCCTGAATCCCTTCTTTTTATGTGCCAAATTTAACAGTTCATTATAAATAGGCATAGTACTAAATGTGCAAATTTAGCAATTCGTGCTAAAATATTTCTTTTTATTTCCAATGTCATTAATGAATACTTGGTTAAATCAACTTTATTCTTTTTTTTTTTTAATTGTACTTCGAGTTGCTGTTTTACACAACTTTATTCTTTCGTTTCAGCAAAACAGCATCATGGTAAACAGAATTAATACTAATTATAGAATTTCATTGGATTATGGTTTTGTTTATATTAAAGACTTAGTTTGGATTTTTAATGACATAAATACAATTATGTTAATGTAAATGTTAATGTAAAATTATGTCAATGTAAACCTAAAGCAACTTACACCTAGGTTTTTTTGGTACTTATTTCAGTAACACTTGAGTAGATAATAGTAAGTCAGGACGGGGCCCCACGGCCCACTGCTCCGGCTGAGAAGCGCTGTCGGAGAGCACCCGTCACCCCGGCTGCGGGTCCCACCTTCAACAGGTCCTCTCCACGCTTCCACTCCTGCCGCTCTTTGCCTGGAAAAGTCTGCTTTTCTCTTCTCCACATATTAAAATGCTAAGTGTCCCTCCAGGATCAGCTGAAATCTCATTTTCTGACAACTTCAGTTTTCATTAATCCCTCTCACCAGAACACCTAAAACATTCAAAACGTGTGCCGCACAAGCAGCACTCGGTGATACAGTTTTTGTTACTATCGTGGCGGCCTACATAGATGAAGGTCTTGTCTCTCTGCTCAGGTTTTAAGGTTCTGCAGAGTTAGGGTTATGTCTTGGGCTTTGTTTCCATCTTCTACTCTGGCCCCAGTGTGGCCCCACGAGCCACCAGGTAGAGGTAGTTACTACATCTGACTTGCCTATTGATCCTTGGTCTGTTTTAGAGTTTATTCAAGTTTCAGTTACAAAAATTTAATATGAGACCTTGAGTGATTCCTCAAGCAAGAACAAATTGTCAGCCTACAGCCCTGGAGCTGGGCCACACAAGCTGGAATGGACCAGGGGACCAGTGGCCTAGTGATGGGTCATTTTGTCCCTTTCTTTACCTTAAGTCAGACCTTTGCTATGGTATTTTCTGTGAGCAAAGACTCAGCACGAGACTCAGATACGTGTGTGTGTGTGTGTGTGTGTGTGTGTGTGTGTGTGTGTGTATGTGTGTGTGTGGAGAGAGAGAGAGAAAGAGAGAAAGAGAGGAGTTGTCATGAGTCTTGGTTTTTCTGTTCCTAAAATGAAAGGATAAGGGAAGCCTGGAACAACTCCAAAATCCCTTCTTGCTCTAAAATTCTATAAAGTGTTGGTACATATGGCCATTAATTTGACATTACCATCCACGAATAAGTGTGAGGTGTGTGCCAGAATTTCACCTGCTGATAATACGTTGGAAAGTTAGGCTTGATGGTTTAACAGCTGTACTTTAAGAGTTTGGTTTGGCTTTTCTCTGTGTGCTAGTGTGTTATTGCATTTAGCACTTATGAGTCCCTGCTACAAAGCAACTAGATGATTGAACTTAACTGTCTTGGCTTTTCAGTTGTTCAGAAACTGAGCTGCATTTCCTGGCTCTCAAACTTCGTAAACTCATCAGACTTTGCTGCAGAGAAATCTCATTAAAATAACAGTCCTTAGAGGGAAACACTAGCACCATTCATAGTTAGTGAAATGCTGAAACAGTAACAGATATTTTTAAACTATGAATTGGAGGCATTTTCCTATACCGTACACATACACACATTTAGACAGACGTGTCAGGTAAATGTTTATGTTTCTTATGCAGTTGTCCTTTAATTGTCTCCTAAAAGTGGCTTTAGTCTTGTGGCTGAAGTACATTCTGCCTTTGCTACCGTCACGTCGGAAAGTAATAACTGGTTCCAAACTGCTTTCCCTAAGGAGTTGTTGGAAGGTCCAAAATGTGCTCATTAGAAAACTTGTACTGAACCACACAAATCTTGCCATTGTGGAGGGTGCACGCATGTGGGACTATTACTTCATGCACAATGACATGAGACCAGAAAACATGTGAACAGGAAGCCAAACCCAAGAGAGAGTTGGGGAGCTTCCAGCTTTCTGTGGAGCACAGAAATGAAGCAAAATCCAGCAGTACTCTGGACTCAGGTGTCTTGGGGACCGCACAGCTGTGACCCATCCACTCTTCAAACACTGCACGGGCAAGCACAGTGGCTCAGGCAGCATCCAGTCTGGAGTAAATCATTATGTCAGCAAATCTAGAAAGATCGTAGCACTTGCTTACGAAGCCAAGTTTAAATGGCTTGGGTAACCTAAATGTGGAATGGCTAGCACCATATATGGAAGCCGAGTATAGTCTTCATACTTTCAATGGTACTAATGGGAATTCCCCCAAATATATCTTGCTCCTTCTTTAAATAATAAATTTTCCCATGATGCAAACTCATCTTATTCTAAAGTATATATTTGGTGATTATTTTGCATAGCTGACATGTTAACCGTTCTTTTTTGAGACTGTTCGTTATTTTATGGCAAAAGCAATTTAGCAAAAATAGAAATGTTTTTCATCATTTCAAAAGTCAAAGATTATTTCTGAAGTTTGGTGAATTTTGAGGTGAGCTCTCAGAAGCCGGATGAAATTCAGATTATAACCAAATACTGTCTTTCTAATACGTGATCAGACTCTATATTTAGAGGTGGAAATAGCTTCTTAAAACTGTTTTTAAAAGTGTCGATACGGTTCACCCACCAGGAAGAAATATTATATGACTTTGCAAGACTAGCCGGCAAGACTGGGGCTAAGCCCCTTTTGTCATAAATGGCATTTGCTCTGAAGTGTGCAGGTAGGGGAAGAGCTCTGAAATCCAGAGAATCTGATAGAGCTTTGCCACTGAAGATTAAGTGCTGAGTGTAGAAAGGGTGAGAGAGTATAAGAAAACTAAGGTTATCAAGTAATCAGACCTCAAGGTTTGAAAAGTCCCAGCTTCCTGTCTGCTCATCAGATTGGTTTCTATTCATTCAAAATGGCAAAATTCTTCCAGCTGTCATCTTTTAAAAATTCACAAATGTTACTCACCCCTCCTTTCCAATTATTCAAGAGTGTGGGAAGAACTTACTGGTCACACTGAAGAAAGACAAAATGGTTATAGACTAAATACTGGCCAGGCAAGAAATTACCTCCTTTCCTTTAGTCTCTGAGTGAGTCCCTAGTTCAAGGGAAGTAAAAAAATCCCTGCTAAGGAAGGCGCTTGTTTTCGATGAGTAAGTATTCTTTATGAATATGTGCTTTTTATGAATAAGTATTCTACTAGCCCTGCGGTCTGTTAGGGACCAGGCCACAGAGCTCTGCTTCCCCAACTTAGGAAAGCCAATCCCTGCCCCTGCCCCCACACAGCAGGAGGTGCCCAAGACTAATATCATAGGCTCCTAGAATTTTCTTTTTCCTCCATTCCCTTCATGCCGTCCCAAGTCAAGAATGTTCTACCTTCTAAATATTAATATCTCTGGAATCTGTGTCTCTCTATATATAAAATCTTTCTAAAACTTAAATCACACACCTACTCCCTGCTTGTCGGCCTCACACAAAGACCTCCTGAGTCTCCACGTTGACTGGAGTAATCCTGAAAGTGCTGAGCCTGGATGAGTTAAGGAGCTTGGGCTCCAACACATCCATTCTTGTGATGCGTTTGCTACAAACAAACAAATAACCAAAATAGACCACTGAACCAAACAATGTCTTACCAATGGAGTGGATTTGCATTTCAGACCAAACTTCTTATCTCAATGTGAACCAGTACAACAAACTGCGGATCAGAGGCTGGTCCATGGATGAGTTTGTTTCATTAGAGTGAGTAGGTGCAAATATCTCAGCATAAAGCATCATGATGCTGATGGTTGAGCCCCTGACTGTACCTCCAGTGCCCAGATTCAACATTCCAGCAACATTTGACCTAGTTCTTATTCCAGGCTTTTTAAATATTTCCTGCTCTCCAGTTTTCTGCTCTTCTACAATGTTCTTCCACACCTCCTGCTTATCCTTTAAAACTCAGACAACCAATACCACTGCTGTGAAAAGTTCCTTTGACTTTCACTAGGCAGAGATAACCACTCTGGCTTCAGTGCTGCCTCCTAATCTTGAACACACTTCTATTTTTGCAGGTATTATACTGTTATGAAAATGATCTGTTGTTTTGGTCTTTCTTCTCAGACAAGGAAGTCTTCCAGGGCAGGATAGTAATCTTATTCACCTTTATATCACTAGTGCTTAACATGGCATGCAATACATAGCAGATGCTCAATAAATGAATGGATTGAACAAATGATGAATGCATGGAATAAATGAAAAAGCCCTAAAATGAGCTGAAACATCACTATTTTCACACTCTGTGTGCTAGATATTTTACACATATTATTTCCTTTTAGTTCTTTCAATAATCATCTCCTTGGGGTAAGTAGATTGGTGTTATTTCACAGATGTGAAACCTGAGGCTGAAAATCTTAATGATCTTATGGCTGGTCCTATAACCAGGTAATAAGCCAAACCAAGCCTCAAATCCAGATCTCAAAGTTTGTGCTCTTTCTACCATGATTGACTAGGCTTTGAGACTTAATGTTGAAATTATGTGGCTGATCTTTATAATCAAATTAGCTAGAGTATAGCATTTAGTGTTGAAAAGTCACTTTTAAATTTAGGAGTAAAAGCAACTGGAATCCAGTCTCATGTTCTCAACCTTATGACCCTTATGTTTTAGAATTTCTTGAGAGCCACAGAGAATTCTAAGTGAAAATGTCATTTAAAGAGAATCTTAAAAATAGGCATAATTTTATGTTTCCCATGTCTATTGAATATATAAAGAATAAACAACTCTATTGCAATCTGAAATTTAATATGAGATTTCTCTACTTGATCCATTGTGGATATTATAATATCATATAAAATACTGAGCACTAAATAGATACAACAAATCTAAGAGTTCAAGATAATTAAATAAATATATGCACTAACATATACATACATATTATATATGGTTTTCACTTGTGTTCATCTAAAGATAAAGACAAGCTCAATGGGTTAATCACAGCACTATGGCATTAAAAGTAAGACGCCTTGCTTGTCTATATTATTACCAGTTTATGTTTCTTAATTTTCTTATCTGAAACATTATTAAGACAATACCTTTCTATATCTCATAGTATACAAAGTTATAATTGTGGCTTTTAAAATGCAAATTGTATAATTATCCAAAATAGAACTTTATTTTCTTGGCTTGCTTAATTAGTAAATCATAGTTTCTGAGTGTTCAGAAGTTGTATTTTTCTTAGTGCTATTCTAGAGTTTGAAATTCACCTTTTGTTGAAAGGCAATTTCTCAAAGCAATGAGCATCATTCCTGAGAATAATATTCTGTTAATTTCACATTCTTTACAGAAACATAGCTTAATAACAGGGCTTTTTGTGTTTTGCTTGTGCCTAAAAAGTTAGAGTCCATGTTCCTTTAACAGTAGACCCTTGAGCTATGCAGTGAAAAATTTAATAAAAATTCACATGTCCACTGTAGTCACAGTGTTTTGTACCGTTCATACAAGCCAGTGCAAGTTTCCAGCCAACACTGAAAGATGGGATTTATTTCCTAGTGTGAAAAGAAACTTTCACCAATTACATCTGACTGAAACTGCGAGTACCCAAGGCAGAGACACTGAAGACTGGAGTTGCATCGTTTGTCCTTGCCTAACAAGCCAGGTGAATACCAGGGCTCCTCTCTAGGTGGAGGAGGGGTGTCTGTGTGTGTGTGTGTGTGTGTGTGTGTGTGTGTGTTTACACAACCAGGAGTGACCAGGACGCCGCACAAGTGGCCAGTTTCAGCCCCTCGCCTGGGTGCTATTTTGTTAAGTGAATTAATTATCAACAGAAACCTCTTTCCCCTCCTGTTATGGTTAGGAGGGATCAAACTGGGTGGAGGACTTTGGCCAGAAACACACTTTCCATGATCTAAGAATCCGAGTGAGGAAAAGGACCCTAATGCATCAATAGTAAGAAGTGCACAAGGGCAGGGAGGAAAGTTAGTCTTCTGGTTTAAAGCAAAAGCGGGGCATCATACTTACAAAAGCCGCCTTCCAAATCTTCTCTAGAGAAAAAGCTGTGGGAACGGGGAGGAGGCAGAGGAGCAGAGATAAGGTGGCAGCGGGGCTTCCTTCCTCCTCCCGAGGGGCAGAGTCATGCTCCTTATCTGCCTGACCTCCGCGGCGCGCCGGGAGCCGGGCGGGCCCGGCCTCCGATCCCCGCTGCCCGCCCTCCCGGCCGCGGCCGCGGGCTCGCTAAGTGCCGATAAAGCCGCCCCGGCCCGACACCGGCCCCAAGATTCATGAGGGACTGTCTGCGAAGTGCTCGCAAGACGAAGACGGTTATATAAGCCCGCGTATTATTATCATCGCACCCCCCCATAGAACCAGCGCTGCCAGACAAACAAAAGGCAGTTCCAAGAAGAGGAAGCGCAGAGGCAGAAGTTACACTGGGGGTGAATTTCGGGACACTGCTGCACAGACTGGAAAAAAAAAGAAGGCAACTCAGTTTGTGCATGCAAACCTCGGCAAACAAACAGCGCGCTGCAGCTGGCCGCCGGGCAGGGAGGGGCGCGGGAGGGAGTCGGGCTTCCCGGAGCGCGGTTCCGGCCCCGGCCCGGGTCCCGGCCCAGCAGCCGCCTGTGGCGGGACGGAGTGGACGGGGGAGATGTGGGATGTGGAAAGCCGGGCGTTCCGGAGACCAAGTGCTTAGTAAACACTGTTTCTCAGGCTCCGACCAGGTGCTGCTGCCGCCGCTTGTCCTTACTCCTTGTTTTGCTAGCGATGGTTTGCAAGGAGTCCCCTGTCGCCTGCCCAGCTCTCTATTTTAATCCTCTGTGGGTCTCTACTCTTTTCTCCGGGGGAGAAATAAACTGAAGCCAGAGGGCTCCTTTTACAACAGAGCCTGGGTCAGCCTAGAGAGTTCTGATTTATTCTGAGCACCAAGCTCCCCTACCTCCCCCAAACTTGCTACTCATATTTTCTTTAAATTATTATTTTCCTGCCCTGCCCCTGGCACTGCTTTCCAACACAGAAAGAAATCCCCCATCCTGGCATTCAAAGCCCTCAATTTTTGTCTCCACACTAATTTCCCACTTCCCATCGGGCCCTCCCGCCTCACCTACTCCCCAGCACATTAGAATATGAATCATTCGCTAAAGATGGCCTTTCAGCTCTCCGTTTCCTATCCTAGCTCTCATCCCCTTCCCCAGCGGGGAATGTCCTCACTCTCATTTCCTTCAAGGCTCACCTCAAATCCCACGTCCCCCACGGAAGTTTTCCCCAATCTCCCCTCTTTTCTCCCCGTGGACTCTGCTTCTCTGTTGTAATTGCTGATGGGTTGACTATTTTCATAGGTTTGGAACCTGGTGTTGTTCTCTCTGGTGGCCTAGGACAGGGCTCTGCATAAAGCAGGTACTCCGTGAGTGTTTGTTGGACGGAACCGACTACTGGGATCCCGCCTGCCTCGCCATCGCTTACCTGGGCTTAGATGAGTGGTTGTTGGAAGTGGGCAGTAGGTTGATGAGGGCTTGCGGTACCCCCTACTTCTGTGAATGCTTGGAAATTTTCATAAGTTAAAGAGTTAAAGAAAAAGAAAGCTTTTGTAGAACGTGGAGGGGAACATCGCAATTTCACTCCAGTCTGCTTGCTTTAGGACGTAAGTTTGTGAGGGAAGCAGGGCTGTTGGCATCTGTTGAGCTTCTGCTAGTGCACATTAGAAGACCTATAAAGTGGAGCTTCTTTTTACAGAATGCCAGGAAAATTCCCCAAAGGTGAGATTTTTCCGAAGTCACAGACTTCTGGGATGCATTTTATGGAGAAACTTTTTGACTGCTGAAACAATGCGGGCTATCACAACAGCAGCTCAACAAATGAACAACAGCTCTCTGGTGAGTTGTTTTATGATACGGGGTGAAATATAGAACGCAAGCTGTCAGGTACTGAATTTCTTGTGGCTTTGTATTAAAGTGTTCTTAATGACATTTCTCCTGTTATTCTTTGGTAAAAGCAACGTGCTTCAAATTCCATCTGTGGTAGCTGGATCAACTGTGGTGTCATTTAAGAGACATGGGGTGTGTCCACACAGTACATGCTCTCAATGCGTACAGAATGTTCAGTGAATTAGAAGAATTTTCCCGCCTCCACTAATTCGGAACAATTAAAACCAATTCAGGTTCTAAAGAATTTTAGCTTCAAGTTCTTGAGGATTTGGCTTCAGGAATGACAAAGATCTCATTGCAATTTAGTAATTTAAGTGTAGGAGTTTCCCTCATTTTGTTCTGCTTAGATTGGGTCCGTAGACTTTATTATAGCTACTCTTTATGAAACCTATTACATTTCAGGCACAGGGCTAGATGGTTTCCATGCATTCTTAAGCTAGCAATCATCCCCAAAATAGAAGTATTTTTATCTTCTCTTTACAGATGGGACAACTGAGTCTGGTCATACAGCTTAGAAAGTGTTAGAACTAGGATTTGAACTTAAATCTGTCTGACTTGATAGTCTATGATTTTTCCATTCTGCTGAAAGCTTTAAGGAACCTTGGATATTATCTCATATGCTGGTTTTCAAACTGGGTTCCTAGGAGCGCTAGGTGTTTAAGGAGGTACTTCAGGAAACTTGGCAGTGTGTAGAAATGGGCCAGGTCAATTGGGTTTAGGCTCTACTCATTGGATTCAAATGAAGAAACATCATTTTCATCTGTTCTATAGAGTGACTTAAGATTTTGTTTGAGACAAGGGTTTTTTTACTAAAAAATATTTTAAAGCTCTTGTCTGGTTTAACCTTCTCATTAGAAAGGTATGGAACTTGGGGTCTGGAGAGATTATAATGTCTTGCCCAAGATGTTATAATTAGGAGTGACAGGCCCAGCACTAACTTCAGATATACAGGCTCTGCCTAAAACTACTGGCTTCCCTTACCCTTTATCTCCTCACTTGTTAAATCACAGGAAAAGAGAGAGAGAGAGAGAAAGAGAGAGAGAGAGAGAGACTGTGTAAGGCTGAGCTCTCTTTCCTGATTGTGTGTCCTGACAGTATTCTTGAACAATGGAAGATGGCAATACTGTCACGTTGGCAAGCTAGACTGTTTTTTAGCCCTTTGGCTGTAAGACTAAAGTTTGTCAATGTTTACCTTGTGACAAATTAAAATTAAGTAAAGGGTTAAATATGTAATTTGGATGATTTAGGGCTCTCCTCTTTTCATTCAAATCAAAGCAGTAGTGAAGGATACTTCTGCATGAGTCATTTGGCTAATTATACAGTCTTGGCTTGAGAGTACTCTTGCTAGAAAAACTGCTTAAACTGCCTTGTTTACAAATTTAGTCAATCTAGCTAAAAGTGGCTCTTTTTAGATGAGACAAAACAGGTGTGGGAAAGACATTATAGAGATCGGGTATGGCCAAGGGAACATGTGTCTCTGAAGTTGGCATAGTTTGTATGGACTGGCTTATAAGGCCTAAAATATCACGGTACCTTGGTATCTTTGTGCCTCACAGGGCCCGCAAAGGCCTGAGGGTTCCCCTGCTTTTACTTGGTATGTCCCCCACCTGACTCCTCCTCCATCAGCCTCTGCACTTCTCCAGGTTCTCAACCTAATGGGTTTCACGTCCTTGCCAGCCCGTACAATTACTAGAACAGGCCAATTCTATCCTCCCCTTGGGAGCCTGAGGGCACCTCATCCTCTTGTTGCTACTGTCTCTCACTGCTCCTGCTGGTTCACTCTGTTCCTACATGGCCTGTTGGTGTCATCCTTCCCTGGCCTCTGAGTGTGTATGACTCATAAACTGCTGTGGATCTCATGTGTCCAGTGTCGAGGACCACATACACGGCCATCCCCAGAACCCCAGGGCGGAACTCCCTCCCTCACCAACAGGGTGAAGAGAAGGCGAGCAAAACAATGACCAGACCTTAGTACTAATACAAAATGGAATTTTCACAGAGAACGAGCGACAAATATCCTATCCTTTGGAGTTTTATTGTCAGGCTATTTGCAAATAGGAATGAATTTTAAGTGAAATTATGACAGCTGGAACTGAACTGTATGAATTTCAAGGCCCCTTAGCTTTTCCATCTGCTCTTTTTAATTTTTATCATTCTCACCTGCAGATTTTTGGGAGCACTGTTCTTTTTCCTGAGATGGCTTAACTACAGCCCTGCCTAAAGGCAAAGGGATATTCCTGTCATTTAAATCCTTACTGACTGCATTCTTTTGGTAAAATGTAGCAGAAAGAAATTTTTCTCATCTCCACAGTCAAGAGATTATAATAAACAGATCTTTTTTTTCCCCATCTGAAACATTCTAAAATTAATATATTTCCAGAGTCTCAGCCTCACAAACAAAGCTTTAGATGTAATTTCTTTTCCTATTCATGAGATTTACAATAGGAAGGTCATGTTTGTACTAGACTCTGGTTTGAAATTAATCTTCTTTTCTCCTCGGCATTTCTATAGAATCCAGGCACTTCATTATGTAGTCATTTCCAAATATTAAATAGTTGTCATTCTTGAACAACGATCTAATCTTCCCTTCATGGGTGGAGAAACTTGAGTTGTGGAACTTGGAAACCATTGCCAGGATGTAGATCACTCTAAAGCTTATGGCCACTCATTGTAACGCTTTTCTGCACACGTTCTTAGACTACAAAGTAAAAATGTAAATTGTTTTATAATCAGCGTGTATAACATCCTCTCACCATTAGAAAGTATTAATTAAAAGCTCATTTGCATTCAGCTTTATGAGAGAAACTTTATGAAGTAAATAAATATATTCAAACCCCCAATCAACCTCAACACTGGGGCTGTGCTGTCGTCACTCGCTCTCTCTTCTGGATTGTGCCTCATACAGATCAAAATGTATTCTTGGTTCAGTCGAACAAGGGTTCGTTTAAACCACATCTGTTGCTCATCAAACTCTATTTTAGGAGTAGGGAATTGTTTTTCAGAGATAGATTCTGTCTGGAAGGTCTTATGGCAACAAATAGTCCTCATTAAATTTCACAACATTCTACCAACATACATACAGTACTCGCTTTTACGTGATTATAGAATCCAGGCAAAATCCTGCACCCCCACTTCAAAGGATTCCTCACTTGAGTAATTCTAAAGAGTAAATTGATTTTCTCATCATTTGTTGTGTTTGACAATAGAAAGGCTGACGCAGCAACATTGCTAAAATGACAGCTCATTTCTATTGAAGGGGAAGGAATTTCTGTTAATATTCTTAATGACAGGCATCTTTAGGAGAAATGTGAAATCATTTATCCTTAGCAATAACCTGACTAGGATTAAAAAATACTTGGTACTTAGAACGGAAGTAATCTGTCAGGAAAAATTATTTCGACTGATGCAAATTAACTGAATAAATTGGCCT